GGGGCCTGCTCCGGAAGCCCCAGGCTTTGTGCTCTCTGTTTCGCAAGCTTCCACCTACGAAGTATCATCATAGCCCCTTTGAAGTCTTGAGCGGCAGGTAGTTGCCGCATGTACCTCTGAATGGACTCCAGCTCCTCTCGCCCCCCAGGGGCATACCTTTCGTGCAAGCTCTGAAGCACCAAGAGGCATCGAACGTTCTTCGACATCGATCCTTCAACCACCGGCTGGCGAACCGCCAAAGGAAGATTCTTCAAGAGGGCCAGCGACAATCTCGTGTGCATCTCGGCCTGTGACGCCAGAACTTCTGGCACTGGCTCCTCCAATCCGGTCAGCCTCTTAGCCTCATATCGCTTTCGCCCCTGATCGTAGATCTTATCGAAGTACTCTGCAAAACTGGGATGAATGCCAGTCAGGACCGCCCTAGTCTCAACTCGCCACTGATGCACTGTCATTCCAACCTCCCATGGCTCTCCCCCCGCAGACAAGTCCAGCTTAGGAGCATCTTTCAGTAACTTGAACGCAGGCTGAGGTATCTTCACCTCAACTTCCGGGCTAGCCTTCTTCATGTTCTCGGGGAGTAGTGGAGGGAGGCTGAGCGCTAGGCCCTAGTCCCGGAGGCACTCCATGTCCCAGCGCATCCCACTGGAAGTATCCCTTCTCAGCGCCACCTAGCCCCACGTACTCATTGGCATGACGCTCGCCCCACCACTCATCGTCATACCCTTCATCAGCGTGTCCCGGGTTTTCAGGAGAAAGAACATGGGGCTCCACAGGAGGTGCAACGCTATCAGCATCGTTCCCTGCAGCAGCCCGCCAAATGCCGTGCTCCGGATCTATCCCCAACTCTTGCCGGATCGCCGCATCTTTATTCCTTAGCTGGTCTACCAGCAATTCCAACCTGGTGACCCGGTCGACCACCCATCGAGTGGTCCTCAAGTCATCCTCATACTTAGCCCTTGCTCTAGCAGCTTCAGAATGGGCCATATCCAGACTCCGCTTCAGCTGCTCAATCCTTTCGTCGCTGCTCGACTGCTTTGTTGTTGCTTGTTCCAATGCTGCTGCTTGCTTCTCTAGCATGCTAACAAGGAGCTGCCTTTGCTCTCCAGCCGATTCACCTACCAGACCCTCGCGGTCACCACGCAACCCAGCTTGTCCAGCCAGAAAGCTTTCCAGTCTCTCCTCTAAGGAAATCGTCTTCTGCCAGGTCTCGGCCCACTTACCTTTTCATGCCTACTTCAAACTCTGCAAGGAGGGTCATCGTCCGCTCATGCTCCGAGGATAAAGAGGCAAGTCTACTTTGATGAACACACACAACCCTTCACGCACTCTTTTGGACCGGTCGCACAATGGTGTGGAAGGGACCTGTCCCCTGGCAGGGACCCTTCACACACGACACTGTCCCGTCAAGGGAAGGCAAACCAGCCACATGGGGCCGCAAACAAAGGGCGGGAGCGCGGGAACAATCAGCTTCACCAGCTGTTTATATCGCTGCAGTCGGCTGCACACAGCCTGCTGCAGCACAAGCAAAGTGGAACAAGCAGCAAACAATTGCAAACCAAGGAAACATGATTGACGCGCACGGGTTGGGAGTTTTCGGAGCATGCGCTAGAGGGGTTCGGGTGCCTAGCGCAAGCTAACCATGCGCATTGTCCTGTCGAAGGGCCTGCAACGCTTGATGCAGACTCTGAATGTTTTCTCGGTCTTCTAATGTGCCACTCGCGGCTCTTTGGACACATTGTCCAAGCAGCTCGGAACGTCTCACCAGCTCATCGGCTAGTGACTGCATACCCTGGCGGATGTGATCAAGATCCGCCAGCTGGCCCAGCTCCAGATTATGCAATGCTTGCAGTCGCGACACCATATCTGCCGGGAGCACCACTTGTGACAAGCTCCTGAGGATAAACGATCCGTCCGCTGCAATGTTTGCTGTAGATGCTGAAGCTGCCGCATGCTGTTCTTGCTGCTGCATGTTTGCGGAGGTTTGCCCAAGGGGAACCCTTGGGCTCATAACCTCTTGGTTTCGGACCAAAGTTGGTGATGGCGTAGCGGTAACGATACTAAAGGGCGAAGGGACAGGGCTCGTGAGACCCCGTCTGATTTGAAAGGGCAAATCATCTAGATGATCATAATCGCTCGCCATTCCGGGGCCCCCAGGCTCATCCGACAAAACCGAACCCCGTCATCTTTCTCACACCTTGAGCCACCGATACCGTGGCGTGTCATTCTTGCGCAGGGGCCATGCAACCTGCACATCCCACGGCTCACCTGCACGTACCATGGAGGGACCGCCTGAACGGACGTCGCAGCAGACAGCATGGCCTGCTGACTGACAACGTCGTAGACGACCGCCAGGTCGACGGACAACACCGTCAGGGTTGGATCGGCCTGGGCCCGGGCCTGCAGGGTGCGGACCAGCGCAGCGCCGGCTCGCGTGGAGAGGGCATGCTGGTGTGGGTTGCAGAAATCCTCGAATTGTGCCGCAAATTGCTGCGCAATGGTCCTTGTTACGAGTCGTCATAACGCGAAAAGACGACAAACCCTCGCGTCCCTCCGCTGGGCTTGATGATCGCGACGAGGCGCCTCAGGGCGAGGCCTGCAATTGCCGACTGTGGCACTTGTGCGTGTGCGAGGAGGGAAGCAGCTTCACCGAAGCTGCGATGCGTGTTCTCGTCCAAAATGAGGTGAAAAATTTCTGCTTGCCAGTGAAGCCGACTACTCTTCGGCTGCCGCGGTCCCTCGCCAGGCTTAAGGCCGCAAGGGCAAGCGGCTGTGGCCCGTCGGGGCGGCGAGGTGGAGGATGCTGTCGAGCGGCGGGCCGGAGCCGGCCTCTGGTTGCGGCGGCTGCCGCCAGGCGCCTCCCATGCTCCACGAACGTCTCGCCCAGGTCACAGTCGCTGCTGCGCGGACCGCTGGCGGGGCGCTGTAGGCCTTCAGAGGGGCTCCAGGTCTCGCACGAAGCGGCAGGCCTGAGCGTTCCCGCGGCCGCCCACCTCGGAACCCAGCACGACCAGCTTACCTTTCCTCAGGTTGCTGCACGCTCGTTGGGTCGATGTGGATGTGCTTCAAGCTGCGGTTGGGGTACGATCTTTTGGTGCACGATTGTCGAATCATTCTCGCTCCGTACCGGAGGCTCTGTTCCACGAAAGTCGATAAAATGCGAACATGGCTCAGCCACATTCCTTCCGTCATTAATGGTACGAATGCTCTTTTCCTTGGGAAACAAAAGACTTTGTGCATTTGCCATGACAATGCGGCACAGCTCTTCGTGGGGGCTAATTTCCTTTTTGCGCCGACGACACGCATACGTATCCTCTGCAATTTCAATGTTTTTTTTCCATGGTGTGAGTCGTCATTGATGCCGGCGGATCAAGCCTCTACAAGCGTAGACAAAGGTGGTGGGGCATCCGGACTACTTTCGCAGCCGCCAGGTCTTTTGCAGCCTCGCTGCTGTCGCTGCCCCTTCACGGCACCGCCAACGTCGATGAGCGACGTGCTCGCCGAGCACCGACTCGACAACCCCCCGCATGCCAGTCGCCTGCCGGCACGATGACGTGCCACCACCTGGGCCTCGGTGTCGGTCAGGGTTTGGTGCGAGTAATGGGACTACCCGTGGTAGGCTGCTGCACCGGGACCGCGTTGGCACGTTCGCAGAAGGTGTGTGCCAAAAAAAGGCAGCCATCTCGGGGAATACACCAGCTTGATCCTGTTTGCTTTCACAACATGCAACACCACGAAGTGCTGCGGAGCTGAACACTTGGTTAGTGCCCCGTCAGCTGACAAGATCACGGTTCGGACAAACCGTGTCCGCTCTCGAATTTTCTTCGCTGAGTATTCGATACGTGTCATTCGAATTCTGGCTAGGCCAACTCCTGTGCAACATGCAACACCTCTGGCATCCCAGGTCGAATTACATGGCAATGTGCATGGCAAGACGCCATGTTTTTTAGTCCAAACACATCTTCTACAACCGTCCGATCCGCGGTGCCGAGAAACTATGAAATGCGTGAATCGTCCTCAGCACTAAAGGCGCATCGGCCTTCCGTGCCACAGCGCCGGTCCATGATGAGCAGCCGAAGGCGGCGCCTCATTGCAACGTGCTGAGCTCGGGCAGCCAAATTCAAAAAAATTGGACCGGACTTGGAGTGGCGGAAGGTGCGAGCAAGCGGGGTCAAGGCTGGAAGCAACCCACGTTGTGTAAGGATGTGGAAAGCGCGAGAACGGCATGTCGCTGCCATGTAGCTCACGTACACGATTCGACGGTCGCGCCAAACAGTCTCGCCACCGTCGGATTTGCGCAGCGCCTTCCCAACCTGGTACGTCGAACACCCGGAGGCTTGCGCCGCCGCGGTTAGAGTTTGGCGCGCTCGCAAGAGTTCTCCAATGTTCTCCGCTCATGACCTTGCCACTGGCTGCAGCAGCGCGCCTCTCCGCCATTTTCGCCACGACACCGTGTCTTTGCTTGTTCGAACCCGTTGAAGCGGGCCCGGGCGGAACAGCAACTCCGCGGATGAAAGCTGCGGCCCGGAGCGCACGAGAAGAAATTTGAAGGGTCGAAACCAGCAAGCCATCGGACAGCCTCGCGGATAAGCACTGCACAGGTGCCGGCAAAGTCCGCAGCGGGGCCGCCGCAGTTCCCTCAGCTCCGTCACGGACTCTACCCAATTGGCCAAGTGCCGACCGCTCCGCTGCTTCTGCCGGGCACCGCGGCGTTTTCGCGGATTGTCAATCGGTTGTTTTTCCGTCCTGTGCTGCTCTCTTGTACCCAAGAGACCGGGCTAGCCAGATCGTTATCTAATCCCGAAATCGAAAGATTCGGTCGAGTCTTTCGTTTTCGGCAACTCGCTGTGGCAGACGGCTTTTGGCAAACATCTGCCGAAATTTCGGCAGCGACGAGTTGCCGAATTCGGCAGATGTTGTCGAACTCGACAAACGAGGGGTTGCCGAATTCTGCAGAATCTCCCAAGTTCAGCCAATCGGCCCGAGCCAAACTTCCATCAAACTTCTTCGCCCAGGCCTCCAAAACTTCCACGAAACTTCCTCGCTCAGGGGCCGCCAAGCTTCCACCAAACTTCGCCTCCAAACGGCTTAGGGTTTGGGGTTTAGGGTTTAGGGACCCTAAACTTCTTAGACCCTAAGCACTGAACCCAAAACCCTGTATTTTACAGTCTATACAGTGGAAAGATCTCAAAAACTTTGCCGGTGAATCTGTGTGACGCGCAACACTGCCCAGCTTTTATTGCTCCCCATCGCCACCCGAAACTTCGACCAAACTTCCTCGGTTCCCGCCTCGAAACTTCCACCAAATTTTCTCTCAAACTCTTTGAAGCCACCCCAAACTTCCACCAAATTTCGGGCGAAGTTTCGGCGAAACTTCCACGAGTTTTTCTCTCACTCGCGTGTGAGGGATCGGACGATGTTTTGTCGGATTCGGCAGAAAAGCCGACTTCGGCAACCTTTTCGGTTGCTGGTCTGCCGAAGCCGACAGCCCTTACAAACCCGAAGAATTCTGGCTGACCCGGTCTATTGGGTACGGGGGCATGCGCTGTTGCTGTCCGTGGTCGTGGGCCGCGCGGCTGTTGGCGAAAGTGCTCGACAGGGCGGTCAACCGCGAGTGCGAGTGCCGGGCCGCGGTAACATTCCAGAAACGCCTCCCGCACGGTGGCTATCAGGCGGCCGTCTGGCTCGCACATCTGGCGGGCTGCCCTGCCACGTGAAGCGTTGCTGGGCTGCGCAACGGTGGCCCCACAATCGCGGCAAACCCACGCAGCGGCCCGCTTCAGTGGCAGTCTACGAGAACACCTCTTGGCCTGGACTTGTTACGCACGTTGGTACACCTGCGTGCGAGGCAGTTGGCCCCGAGGGCTTCCGGGCACGCACTGTGGCGCCGAACGCTGCGCGGGTGCCATTTGGCGCCTTGATTCATGCAAGGGGATACGAATGTATCGAGTCACCGTCCGTTATCGGGAGTGGCCGGGAGGCGACTGGGATGCTTGTCGAAACGTCTTTGGCTTGCAAGCGCGAAAAGAAGCATCGGCACTCCAACGGCCCCCGCTTTCGAGCGCGAGCATGACAAGGAAGTACCGCTCCGTTCCATGGCTCGGTCGGCGATGCGGGCAGCTGCGGGGCACTCATGGTGACGACAAGCGACACAACGTTCTCTCTACAAGTTGACCTCCCGACAGTGGGAACCCGTTTGTGACCTCAGTCCCCCGGTCATATGCGGATGGTGAAGGCGCGAAGGTACTTGCAATCCACGGTCTTGTTGCAGAAGGACTGACACACAGGTGCAGCATCCCAGGGCAGAAGAAGTTGAAGTGGCGAGATACCGCCGGAACTCCAAACTCTCGTCCTGCCGGTGTTGAGGGGGACGTGGGGTGACTGAGAACATTGGACGCACCAACGACATCGACAAATACGATCGCAAGGTTTTGGTTGGCTTGCGCAAACGCTTGCGGGGAACGAACCAATCGTTTCAACCAGCAGCATGTGGTCAAGCCAGGAGTATGTACGGTGCCGCGTGAGCGGCGGCCCCGAAAGCAAGCGTCGCGTGCATTATTCCGCGGTTTGTCACAAATGCCATACCCGGCTCGCGACGTCCCTGCGACAAGCCACGTCTTTGTTGCTAAAACGGATAAACACGTTGAAATCAGCACCGTGTAAGATTATGTTGTTCGGCATCCGACGGGAAATTCAAGCTTCTCAAGTGGAAGACAAAAAACATATAAAACATGAATGACGAAAACTCGGAAACAATGTCGTCCCTCTTTGCTTTTCCGTTGTGCAGTCTCACAGTATGGTTCGATGCCCATCCAAGCGGTGAGTATTCACGTCGGCACGAGGTGCCTGTTGCCACGGACCGCTTCGTGGCCCACAGCCAGTCGCACCCGTTCGACAAGTGAAGTTACGAGTGGGTGTGCCAGCCATTCTTCAGCCCGCCTCGTTTTCGAAGCAGCTTTTAGAGCGCTTGCTCTGTGTTCGCTGGCCCAACATCGAGGGATGTGTGGGCAGTGTTCTGCTGTGCCGCTGTTGCGAGACATGATGCCACAGATGTTGTGACATGGATCTTGACTACGTCGACCCCCGTCGAGCAAAGTGCCGCAAGCAACAGCCGTGACGACGCATGTCGGAAGATGGCAGGTGTGAACGGCCATACTTAAGCTCCTTTAACGTTCAATCTACCCTGGATCAGCTCGGTAACCGCTGAGTGTCAGAAACATCGTACATGACGCACCGGGTCGACAGCTCGGCTACATCGGGACTGTGACTATAAGACTAGGAGTGCTTCAGCTGGGACCAAGGCCAAGGACCTCAAAGAACACGAACCGAGACGATACAAGCAAGCTCACCAGTCGACGAAGTCAGTGCCGCAAGCACTTTTCAGGGAGACGTCCAGAGTGAAACACGCGAAAACGTCGGCAAAGGAGAATGTAGAATCCCACAAAGCTTTTTCAAGCGCAAGTATGCACAGCTTGCAAATGTTGCACTGTTCGCAACCATGGCGGATGGCACCAAAATATAAAGCTTTCACCTGCGAACCCGTTTACATGGTCGCAAAGGCACCTCACTATGTGGAGAAAGCTTCTTCCCCACTCGCTGCTTGTAGCCGAAGTTTCGAAATAAACGCACCGAAACTACAACGATCTTAAAGAAGAAGTCAGTTATTCATCGTAAGCCGGCCCGACTGGAGAGAATTCTGATGAAAAACATCCCTGGCATGCATTCAGCGTTTGCAAGTCCGGACCGCATAAGGCGGTGAAGCAGCTTGTGGGAAATTGGGGCACTGGCTCCGTAGCTCGCCACAGCATGGTGTGACAGCTGACTGGTGAGCCAAGTACAGCTGATGACGTTCGAGATGCATGTCCGCATGCTGATGCTCGTCCGGAGTGCTGCTAAAGATGCAGCTCCTGACAATGTGGAATGAGGTGGGATGATTCGTCGACCACTCACAGCCCCTTTTTGGTACTCGAAGCATTAAGCATTTGGCAAGGCATTAATCCAAGGCGCTTCTGCGCAGTCCGTCCTGTATGGAAAAGTGACACACCTAGCACGCTCTAGGTGCCGGCTTGTTCCAACGTTGCTTCCTGGGACACAGGCTGCAGAACCACTTCCGACCAAACTTACCAAACAAATACCACAAGTCGCCTTTCCGCTTGCACACTCCAAACCTTGCCAAACCCTACTGACTTCCCTAAAGTCTCCGCTCCCTTTGCGCATAGTGTACGGAGAACTGCGTGGCATTTGCCCGCCGCAGCATCTCTCCAGCCGGTTCCGGGCTAAGTCCGAGCGAATCGGAGCCCTGGGGTCAAGCTGCCTTGGCCGCAGACTAGAGCCCTACAAGTTAACGGTCTACTGCGTCTCCTCACTTCCGTCTGCAGCTTCACCAGCCGCGTCATCTCCATCATCTCCGTCATCGCCATCGTCACCATAACCAGCACCTGCAGGCTGAGCCATCACCTGGACAGAAGGGCAAGGGGCGGAGTGCTCTTCAGCCAAATCTGTTCAGCTAACATGTCCTTAGGGCAGCGCTCTGCCGTCTGTGACATAGATGGTGGTAAACCTTAGCAGATCAGCACTGACCATGGGTCGCTGAAGGCTTTCTTTCCCAGTGCGCAGGAAATGCCCTGCGAAACAAAATGCATCTTCCAGGCTGATTCCGGGCATTCGTTCCTTCCGAATTCTCTCAAAGCCACGTTGTATAGAAGTCTGGCAGTGAACATATTTGCGTGATGAAAACTATCTCCCTAAAATCTTCCTCATGCACGTTCGCGTGGTCCTGTACTCTGCCACCGGATGATGTTCTGCTGTGATTCCCATCTTGATGCTTCCGTGTAGCAGGGGAGCAGACTAGCCCCACCATCCTCCAGCAGCAATCCAGGATGTAACGAAGATACCGTTGAGCTCGAACAACGGACGATTCTACAAGAATGCACAGGAAGAAGCGGAGGCGCACTGCAATCCACTTCATGACGTAAAGAGAGATGTTGCAACAGGATGTACTCAACCCACACGTCTAGCAACAGCTGTTTGGAGAGTCCAAGCCTGGCCATGGCAGTGCCCTAAACGGCGGCAAGAGTCCCTGCCATGGCCCGGCCCGGAGTCCCTGAGTCCCCGACGCGCCGAGTATGACGACGCCGAGCATGAGAGCGTAAAGGCTCCACCTGGGCAGAGGCGGTTGCAGTGGTCGGAGGATCGCATGTCAAGCTGAGGCAGCTTCGTAGTAGTAGACTTCGCAGCTCTGCGGGCTGCTTTGGGATCCTTCTTCTTCAGCTTCTTCACCTCAAGGGCTCGGAGAAAACATCGCGCACGAAAGCCGCATGGAGGACAGGCCTGCGATGCTTGGTAGACGCCGTAGCCTCCTAAGAGCCTGCCATGGGCATCCCCATGGAGCGCATCGTTGGGTGAACATCTGACATCTTTGCACAGTGCAATCAGCGTCAGCAGTGCGGGCAGAAGAATGCGGATACGATGGCCCAGGGCATGTAATCCTGTCGCATGGAGGCGCTCAGTCTCACAGTTCTACGTCCTTCTGGGTTCTCGATGCCTGTAGCCGCCAACACCCTCTACAACATTCCGGTTGCCTTGATACCATCCTTCTCCGTCGTCCTTTGCATGCAGCACATCACTGGTGCACGGTTCTCAGCAAAGCGGCCCCATACCTTGAGGAGACCTTCTCCGACGTCATGCTGCCACCACAAGACACCAACTTGTGCCTCGCTTCGGAATGTTTACTAGAAGGGCAGGCGGAGAAGCTGCTTCGATGCTCCCGGCCCTGTCAGCTCCAGCATGCGGTCGGTCTTCAAGCCTTCCCGACCAGCCGCATCCCCTTCAATCTGCTTGCAAAGGTCCACAGCAACGAAGGTCAGAGCCTGTCACTTCTGCCACCAGGGAGGCAACTGCAAGGATGATGCTGAACCATCCGTTGATCACGCCAAGCCTCTCGTCTAGAATCTAGCCCAGCCAAGCAGCACGACTTCGATAGACTCTACGTTGCAAGGGGGCGCACTTGCCACAGTAGCCGAAGTTAGCAAACATGCCCTGGAATAGGAGCCAGATCGCATACCTGAGGACCGCATGACACATGGCCTGCATGCAAGAAGGCTGCGATCTCCACATCTGAGGGGAACACTGCACAAAGTTTTTGGGAAAGCCACCCACCTCTCCGCCAACATAAGACCCGAAAGCATGCCAGAATTCAGGGCGGGCCTGGAGGAGCATCGGGCGATACATGAAAGTGCCGAAAATTCCCATCAAGAGCGGCCTAGGCAGACATGTTCTACATGCCGCTGCATTCTCCAGGTGCTTGCACCAAGCTCGTCCAATGAATCCAACGGTTTCAGGTGCTGGCACAAGTGACGGAAGCTGGGCCATGCCTTCAGAACATTGGGGAGGTGCAACGGGAACGTTTCCGTTGACAGCCGGTGCAGTCCTTGCCGAGGAGATGTCTGAGCTGCCAACCGAAATTCGAGGCCCACTCTGAATTGCAGTCAACCCATTTTTGTGCTGCCGTGTCTGACCAGCCTGGAGCTGCAAGACGTAACAGACATTGTGTGTTGAAACGCTTCGAAAATTCGCTGAGGCAGAGGCCACACTCAGACCACTTGAGCTTGAGCACCGGGTGATGGTACCAGGTCTCAGAACCGTTCGTTTCCCGCCCCACACGCGCTGGAAAGACACCCTAAGGCCCTAAGGGCGGTGACACAGTGACAAGGCAGTGGCATAGACGATGCCAATGATGGTCGTGAACAGCGACGATGCCAGGCCCAAAAGGCCCAGCACGTTTCCGAGATCCTGGGAATGAAAACACCCCTGCGCGTGGACTGCGTGCGACGTGTGACGACATCTATGAGTCTCTGCAGCCCAGGGTCCGAAAATCTCAACCCTGCCATGGGCCACGACACCTAAAGAAAGAGAGCAAGGCCTCTCTCACGCAAATTCGGCTTCTGCCGCTCCGGCCTGGCCTCAGATGAAGTTCCCAAAACCGCACCGCCAAAAGGGCTGTGCCGGGAAGCTTGCCCCGTCCGAGCAAACAGCTGCAGTAACGGCGTTACGGCGAGCGCTGGGCGAGATGCTTGCAACTCGGATCTCCAAGCTGCCAAAAGTTTCAGCAGCACGCTACGAAGCAGGATTGGACTGGAATCACAGCTAAGGCTAAGGAAGGCTGTCAGCCCCGAATTCAAAGTCAGTGATTCGATACCATGGGGAGCGTTTGAAGGTGAACACTTATTCCACAACGTCATGAAGGTTTTGCAGCCATTGAGATTTGGACAAACTTGCAAAGCCGATAGGATTTGGACTCAATTTGGACTGACACATGAAGATTCCGCGAACTTAGCAGAAGTTTTTTGTTCAAGGTGGCGACGAAAAACACACTTCCATGCACTTTTGTCACACTTCCCATTCAACCTTGTCCTCTTCCAACAAACCTTTTTCGAGCGTTGCCAACAGGTTCATCGCGACCCTGCCCTGCACAAGACTAGGACCCCTTCCAGACAACAGGCGGCAGGTGGTTTCAGGTTGAGAACTTGGCGGACTACATCAACAAAGCAAACCCATTGTTGTCGCAACTTAAAGCGCCAAAAGGAAGATTGAAGCACTTTGCACCGTGCAGGGCACGGTTTATTTTTGCTAGCAGCAATACTTGCAGGCCAAATTGAGTTCAGTGAACGACTTGGAGGATGTTGCTAGATTCTCAAGCTAGCAAGACGTATGGCTCAAAGGCAAACCTCATGAAATCGAACCATCTTTCATCTGTAAAATCATGACTCGTGACGGTTGTATTAAATTCAAACGAAACGGAAAGCTGGAGGCAGAATCTGAACAGCTAAAATCTTGCCAAATTCGAATGCTGCAAACTCAAAACAATGAAGAACGCCACAAAACACGCGATGCCAGAACTTCGTGCTTAGAGTTTTCAAAGACAAGACACAACGGAAAAAAAGATCAGTTTGATTTCCTTCCAACGTCACATCCAACCTGACTCGGGGCCGAACATGGATAAAATTGGAGTCGAGAAAAGCAAAAAGTTAAAATCGAAATAAATTGCTTTTTGCTTCCAAAGTTCCACACAATGGTGTTTTCTGCTGATCATCGAAAAAACTTCGAAACGAAACCACCAAACCTTCTGCACTCGACCTTGACTCATGGTACGGGTGCAAGATGTTCGAGTTTCTTCTCCCACTGCTCCGC